CGACGACCGCTTCTCCGACGAGCAGCTGGTGACCATGTCGGTGCGCGAGCTGAACCGGCAGCTGCGCGGGGTCAGCAAGGAGGAGGTGATCCGGCTGAAGCAGAAGAGGCGGACCCTGAAAAACCGCGGCTATGCCCAGTCCTGCCGCTTCAAGAGGGTGCAGCAGAGACACGTCCTGGAGTCCGAGAAGAACCAGCTGCTGCAGCAGGTCGACCACCTCAAGCAGGAGATCTCCAGGCTGGTGCGCGAGAGGGACGCCTACAAGGAGAAATACGAGAAGCTGGTGAGCAGCGGCTTCCGAGAAAACGGCTCGAGCAGTGACAACCCATCCTCTCCAGAGTTTTTCATGTGAGTCTGACGCTCAACCCCAGCTAGCCACCTTGATAAGTGCTCCTCGGGGTCCGGCTCGGGTGTGGGCTTGCTGGTTGCAGAGCCACGCTGGCCACCACCTCGCCCCTTCCCCTGCCGAGCTCGCCCCCCTTGGCCCTGCACACACACACACACACACACACACACACACACACGCACACGAGCGCCCTGCTCCGAGTTGGTGGCGGCGGCGGCTGTTTTAAACTGGGGAGGGAATGGGTGTCTGGCTCGTGGATTGTGGATATGAAATTCCCCATAACTTGCTAGCTGTTTTTTTTACACCCCCCCTCCCCGCCACTTGCACAATGTTCAAAGATCTCAGCAGAGCTCTTCATGTGAAATATTGCCCACCTTGGAAGCCCGCATCATCTGCATATTTTTCCCCTTCTTCAATTCATGAGCTGGTTTTCATTTTCTGTGTGTGTGTTTTATTTTGTTTGGATTTTTCCCCTAATTTTACTTTGTTTGTTTGTTTGTTTTGGAGCTTGCTGTGTTGTTACCCAACCTCCACCTCACTCCCTCTCCACCCATCTCCTCCAAGATTTTTTTTAAAAAAAGCAAAAGTTTTTTTTCTCCTTTTGAGTTCTTCATGTGAGATTGAGCTTGCAAAAGAAAAAAAAAATGTGAAATGTTATAGACTTTGCAGCAGCAGCGTGCTGAGTTCCATCGGGGTTTTTAGCATTATTTTGCTAAAATAGAGGAAAAAAAGTACTCATGAACCTGCCACAATCAAGCCTGCATCAACCTTCTGGGTGTGACTTGTGAGTTTTGGCCTTTTGGTGCCAAATCTGAGAGTTTAGCCTGCCATTTAAAAAACACTCATTCTCATCTCATGCATTATTATGCTTGCTACTTTGTCTTAGCAACAATGAACTATAACTGTTTCAAAGACTTTATGGAATAGACATTATATTAATAAAAAAGCCTGCATGCTGGACATGTATGGTATAATTATTTTTTCTTTCTTTTCTTTTTCCTTTTGGCTTGGAAATGGACGTTCGAAGACTTAGAGCATGGCATTCATTCTTTTGTTTTATTGTCTCATGACTTTTTTGAGTTAAACAAAACAAAACAGAACAGCGCAACCTTAGAGCCTTCTTCCCATGAAAGTTTTCATCTGCTCCAAAACTGCTCTGACTTACTCAGAACTTCAGCCTCCCGTTGTAAATGCACTGAAAGCATTCCTTGTCAAAGATACCAAAATGGGTTTAACATGGCAAACATTAAAGAACTCTTATTAATGCTTTCTTTTTAATGAGAATGACACCCCCATTTGGGGACTTAAATCGTGCTGTTGCCGAAAGCAGTCTAAAATTTATTTTTTGAAGAAAAGAAATCTGCCCCATTATTTTTTTGGTTTGTTTTATTTTTATTGTTTTCTTTTGGCTTCTGGTCATTATCAAATGTGGAATGCTATGGGTTTCTAGTATATAATTTAATTCTAGTTTTTATAATCTGTTAGCCCAGTTAAAATGTATGCTACAGATAAAGGAATGTTATAGATAAATTTGAAAGAGTTAGGTCTGTGTAGCTGTAGATTTTTTAAAAGATTGATGCACTAAATTGTTTACTGTTGTGATGTTAAGGGGGGTAGAGTTTGCAAGGGGGTTTAAAAAAGTAGCTTATACAGCATGTGCTTGCAACTTAAATATAAGTTGGGTATGTGTAGTTTTTGCTATACCACTGACTGTATTGAAAACCAAAGTATTAAAAGGGGAAACACCCCTGTTTATATCTGTAGGGGTATTTTACATTCAAAATGTATGTTTTTTTTTTCAAAATTAAAGTATTTGGGACTGAATTGCACTAAGATATAACCTGCAAGCATATAATACAAAAAAATTGCAAAACTGTTTAGAACGCTAATAAAATTTATGCAGTTATAAAAATGGCATTACTGCACAGTTTTAAGATGATGCAGATTTTTTTACAGTTGTATTGTGGTGCAGAACTGGATTTTCTGTAACTTAAAAAAAATCCACAGTTTTAAAGGCAATAATCAGTAAATGTTATTTTCAGGGACTGACATCCTGTCTTTAAAAAAAATGAAAAGTAAATCTTACCACAATAAATATAAAAAAATCTTGTCAGTTACTTTTCTTTTACATATTTTGCTGTGCAAAATTGTTTTATATCTTGAGTTACTAACTAACCATGCGTGATGTTCCTATGTGCTTTTCTTTCATTTTCAATTCTGGTTATATCAAGAGAAAGAATAATCTACAATAATAAACTGCATTTTTTTTTGATTCTGTACTCAATTTCTTAGTGTACAGTTTAACTGGGCCCAAAAAACGCATGAGAAGTGTAAAATGCATCCTTTTCTCCAGTAGAAGGGTTCGTGTTGGTGCAGGGAGGCCATAATTCAGGGTGAAATTATGGGCTGTTTGGTGAGGTGAAGGGGCAGGCCCATATAATAATGAGTAATATTTAATATCATTATAAATTATGATCTCTCAATTTTTGCCCCTCCCTAAAGTTTTCAGTTTTGAAATTGGTGGAACCATCATTGCTCTTTGGTCAAAACAAAATAAAACAAAACAATGAAGTTTGGCTTTCTGACCATGGCCCTGGGCTGCTGACCCATCAGGATGGCTTAGGCACAGGCACAGTTAGAGCTAAAGATAAACAATTCTGTCTTTTGACTAAGATTGATTATTTTTCCTTCTTCCCTTACACATTGTGATTTTCTTGTTAGCAAGACCTGACAAGCTTGAACATAAACACTTTGGACGAATCAAAGTTGTTTGTTTTCTTTTTTTTTTCCTTCTTTAATTTTGAAGGTCATTTGCCTTAAATAGGAGAAAAAAAGAAAATCCATACCTTACTCAAATAACTTCCAGTTAATATATGCTTCAGTGTGTATTATCAAATCATATTTCATGGGGATATTTAGTGGAGAACAGCTGAGCAGTGATTTCAGATCATGTTAGTCCCAGAAATATAAGCAAAAAATCATGCCTCTGTTGAATGAATGCTATGCTCTGACTTACTGATATCTATCCCCAAATGGGCCGTGTATGGGGGCTGATTTGAAGATCGTTTGGAAAGATTTCAGCTCCTATCCTAAGGAGAACTCTTAAGCATTGACCTATTTTAAACTGCCACAAATTCATGCCACTAATGTTACAAATTCATGCAGCTTGTACTCATAGTCAACTTCCCTAGAAGCTAGTAGAATGTTAGACAAAGCCAGAACTGTTTGGAAAATATAGCCAAACGCAATCACTTTTGTTTTATTTTGTTTTTGAGTCTTTAAAGAAAGAGATAATGTTGTAATTCTGATCACAGGCCTTATTTTGAAGAAAACAGGTTGTGCTTGATGCTGATGAGTCCTGGCCGTATGTATTATCACAGGCCTTCCTGACTCGCCTACAGGGCATGAAGACAGTGTTTACCCTCTACATTTTGACCTTCCCTTCTGTGCCAGCTCGGATAGCACACTGTACCCACACTGAATTTTGCTTAACAAAAGTCTGAACAGCTAACCTACTCCTGTGTCCTGCTAGGTAGCTGTCCTCAATGACAGAGATTTTTGTTTCTCTGATCACAACCAGGAGATATACATCCTCCCTCTGAAGATGGTGAGCGAGACATAGTACTTTTACCGAAAGCTCAGCATCCGATGGAGGTTGGAGGATTTTAGACACACACAATTTCAAAATAAGAGTCACATTCCAGAAGCAGTCATTGCAACTAAGTCCATGAAGAGTAAGAACTGAATTGGGGATATATATGTATATGTATGTATGTATATGTATGTATGTATATATATGCAACAATTAAGCCATTTGATAGAAATGTACAAGGCAGTTCCCTATAATAAGCTGGATTAGGCCCCCAGACATTAGAAAATGAAATTTAAAAAGTACTGGTCAAAATGGACCGTGGGTAGGTTGGCTTCTACAAAGAATTCTTAAATCCTCCCTAGGTGCCCTAAGTTATTAGTAAGTCTCTAAAAAAATTTTTTAAAGAAATCATGTAAGGAAATCTAGCTTTCCCCTTTCCACTGCATTTGAGCCTTTGTCTAAATAGTGTTAAAATTCCTTTCATTCCAATTACAGAGCTGAGCCCACTCACAAGTTGGAGTTGCCAGTGGGATATGCTACATTTTAGAAGCCCCAGCAACGTGTCCTCACCAGTGTGTGCACAAAGTGAAATTTATGTGAGAGCTGTGTATTAAAAAAATATATATATTATTATTATTTGCAGTTTGGGAGAACAACTTATTCCTGACTTGCATTTAGCCTCCTTTTAAAAGCCAAATGATTGTATAAGAGAAGAAGTCTCTTAAATGTATAAACCACTGAGTTAATTAACAATTAACTCTGCCTCCTGTCCGAGGGTCTTATACACAGAACCGCAGGAAAGAGCACCCATGCTTTTCGATTTACAGTGTGCATAGGTGTGATTGTTCTCAACCTAGAATACTAGTTGTAAAAACTCCACCAAAATTACAAAATATGTATACGGACGTATATACAAAGAAAAGTTCCCCAAAAGGTTAACAGCTAGCATTTTGTAAGCATATATAGACATGCACATTTTAAACAGTAAATTTTCATGCTTCATTGTTTCCCTGGCAGAGAATTTTTACTGAGAAAAAAAATATTTGACTCTCCTCCCTAAACAGATCCCACTGGCAGAAGCTTTAGCTAAGTGGGACTCCCTGGGTTTCTGGCAGGCCCTGGATAGTGCTGTATATATCTGTGATGTCAGACACGTTCATTTATCAGACGTAGCTGTAAATGAAAACAATGTGTAGCTGCAATACAAAGTTAGTTAAAGACACATCCTTTGAGTGCTTGTTTTCCTCCCTCCTTTTTCCGTCCCCTGACCCTCACAAAAACCACCTCCTTTTGATTTCCCAGCTCTTTGCATGTTTCCTCTCTCTAAAACCATGAAAATATTTTTTTCGGTGTATCTGACACAGTAATATGACATCAGATAGGCGGAGGTCCCCGTCTGTCCAGCAGAGCTATCTGGACATCAGTTCCTCCCTGTCCCAATGCCCTGAACACCTGGGCCCCCTTTGAACACAGACCACCCTGATGGTTAGGAAAGACTATTTATTACTGAGTGCACAGTACTAGCGTGCTGAGCTTTTTTCCCCCCCTTACACCTTTACCCCAGTCGTTTTTATTTAGCAGCATCAATTCTAGAGTCTTCTATTCTTAAATAGGACCTCCCTTGCCAAGCCACCAGCTTTCCTGCTAAAAGCAGCAAGCAGAGGACCAGTGGTGGCCACTCTCAGAGACATGGCACACCGCTGTCTCCCTTGCCGCATTCCCGCGTTTCCTGGTCCACACAGCTGGAGTTGCTGGTGACACATTCAGAAGTTCCTGGCCATGGATCATGGCGGGGCTGTCCTTGTCTTTGCTGTTGTTTTGACCTGGGCAGACTCATTTCCGTGTGCACCAACTCTTGGCCCGATGCTGTATCCTCCTGACGTATACTAAGCTAATCAATATATTTAAAAGTCTGATCGCCACACCAATAGCTCTATTTTTGGGGGGGAGCACCGGTAGTTAAAGACTAACTGAGATAGAACGGAAGACTAAAATGCATGAGTGACAACCTTCGGCCATCTGACTCCTGTGCCAGAAAAGCACTCACTTGAGAACTCTGGGCCGAAGCTCTCTCCTCTAAACCTTCCGTGAGCAGGAGAGGAAGGCAGCTTTGCCTGCTCTGGACGGCCGATTTGCACAGCTTCCAACTATGATCCACTTTCATTTGATTTTTTTAAAAAATTACTTATGCCCCTTCGTAGAAAAAAAAATCTTAGTATTTTTTTGTGTGTCTGTTTTGTTTTTTTCCATTGGTTTGGTTTCTGTTTGGGGGCCTTAATTTAAGGAAGCTTTCTCTGCAATGATTGGCTGTGATTTTTACCCCTTTGCATTATTCTTCAAGATGTTGAGTGGATGTTCTGGGGCTGTACCTACCTTGATGTTGTCAGGAAAATAAGAGAAAGCCTAAAGCTTGTTTTCATTTATAGCCCATCAAATCTCTGAGATGGGCTATCCAGTCTCAAAGATGTCCGAGTCCAGGGTGGCCATCAGAAACCTGCTGGTTGGTTTGTTCTCTCATTTGTTTTAAAAAGAGCAAGAGCCTTAACCCATCTTCCCATACCACAGCTTTTCTTGCTTCTGATAGAAATCTTCCAAATCCAGACATCAAACAGCTCCAGAAAGGGGAATTCTCTGCAGGCGCTGCTCCATCCTAGCTCCTGAACAAACCCAGCTCTGTTTGGCATTTTTTTTCTTGAGCAGGGGTAGGGAACTGGGCGACAGAATTTCAGTCTCCCAGGCTGTCGCATGGTTGTTGGGGCATAAAGAAGTACAGCCCTACCACAGATTGGGAGCATATTCAGCCCTTAGAGAGGGGCCGAACAGAACAATAGAAAACAAACAAATGAAATCGCTCTGCACCAAGGCAGAGCACAGCCTGGGTCCCCATTCCCTGAACCATCTGTAGGAGGAGAGAGGGAAAGGAGAGAAAAGAGGACTTGAAAAGCAAGAGACCCAGGAAGACATAACCCCAGAATATTACACTCTGATCGTGAGAAAGCCACACTCAGAGGTAGCACAAGCCAGGTGCAGACCAGGTCTGGCTGCCCA